TTCTCCACTCACACCGGTGGGCGTTTACTTCCAAGGCCCATAAAAACCGAGTGTTTTTGAGTTAGGCTCGAAACTAGGGTAGAAATTAGCCTATTACTTATTCATTTTGATGTTTTTGAATGCCAAAACCAAGCGATCATAAGTTGACCTCAGACAACAATAAAATAAAATTTAAAAAGCCAGGTCATGACGCCTTTAATCGCATAACCTAATCCAGAGCAGACACTTATCTCGGTTGATATGTGGCTTGGGAAAGGGTAAAAAAAATACACACCGTCGCCCAGCCTCCCAGGAACCTAGTGTCGGAGTTGCATGTACCCCATACACACCGTTTGACCATTTTAAACTTAAAATGACAAGAAAAAACAAATGAAAACTGACTAACTGCAATACAATGGACGTGGATGCAGAGAATGTCCGAGTGTATTGGGTTAGCTACTCACTGTGATTGGCTCATCACATTTGGGGGTGTGGCTTAGCCATAGGTCATTTGGCCAAAATGCTCTGTTCAACTTTTCTGAGATCATCTACTCTTCCCTGTGGATGACCTGTGACCTACTTTCTGTAAGATCTGAATTTTTGACATTGAATTTTAGAAATTTCTTGAAAACTTGAATCTGTATTTTTTTTAAAACTGAAAATTTGCCGTATTTGAATTCAGAACAAAAAAACTAGCTGTTTGAAAATAGAGTGCCGAAGTTATGATGTCACTCTGTAGGCCAAAACGCGGAAGTGAGTTAGCAGTTTAGCACTCCCGGTTCCCTCGCTCTAAAGTCTATGGGTTTTTTTGAATGAGTTTTTGCTAAATCACCCGAAATAAGGTCTGTGGTGAACAAAGCCTCTAAATATTTTCACGTTTTGATCTATGACATAGAACACACAGTTATAACCTGCTTGTGGTTTTTTTAAACTTTATTGTGTCTGCTTGTTTTTGTAAAAAAAACTTCATATAGGCTTCAAAATGTATAAATTTTGGATTAACTTGTAAAGATTATCTTGATAGACAAAACGTGTAAGGGTCACAACTCTTAGTTAAACACAGATCTTATTTTTTGCAATTTTCCAAAAGTCGATGGGGAAAATGCATTGCTTTTCAATCGAGAGAACCCCATGCGCCGCTAGCTTCCGAGTTGTCCAACAAAGTGACGTCATCACTTCGGCCATAAAAACCTTTCAGTTTGATAAATTTCAAATGTTCAATATTCTTTACAAAAAAATTGAAATTCAGAACTATTTAAACTACCACCTAAAATGCATATATATATATATATATATATATATATATATATTTGGACAATATAAGTTTCATGGACAACATAAGTAATAATAATAAAATAGCCTAATGATACTGTTATTAGTGCAAAAGAACAAATATCTTGATGCTGCTTCTCCAAATACCGCTGTTTTGCACTTTGTGTGAGTTTGTTCCTGCAAGGTCCCTTTTCTTTCGCCTTATCTTTTTGCATTGCTTTACTTTCTTCCTTTTTTTTTTTCTCGTATTCTTAGATCCATCTCTGACTGCCAAAATAATAAATGCACGAAAACTAAAGAGCTCTGGAATGTTTAGTCACATCTCTGTGAGGTTCTAAAGGCGTTGCCGCAGGTAACCGATAGCCGATAGTGTCTTCTACCATCATGGCCGACCGGCTCAGACCCCGCCCAAATCAGCTCGTGACTCCTCATTCTCAATTGTGTAAATGCAAAAATCGGATACGGGTCACTTTTAAAAGATGATGTAAGCGGGTCGTCAAAAAATCGGATATAGTCAGAAAATCTGATTTGGGCATCAAGACCTGCAGTGTAAATGCGTATTTCGGACTTTTTTTCACCACAAGTCTGAAAGAAGACATGTTATTAAAGACAAATATCCCAAAATCTCAAAATTGACCAGTGAAAAAAAACTATGTTTTTGCCTGCATGCCCTGTCTCGCCTTAAGAAGTTTTATAAATATGTATTTATAAAACTATACATTAAAAGTTGAACCTAACCTAAAACTTATTTTTCTTTCTTTATTTTGTAAAAGATAAAGCTTCGTTAATTGAATACTGTATTTGAATGTCAACAGAATTTGTGCTATGAGCTGTGATTGGTCTATTTTGGGGTATGTCCCGAAGGCTACCTGCAGGCTATTATGAAGACAAGAACATGCTGGATAACTCAGATCATAATGAAAACACATTGTTCATCAGTGTTTCAAAAGACCAAGTCATCACTTTAGTTGAGGGGCCACAGACATGATGAAGTCATTAAAAAGATTACGCTTAGTTAATGATGGCTACTGTATTGAATGTCAACAGAATTCGTGTGCTTTTGGGGTCTGTCCAGGCTATGAAGAAGACATGAACAACATGTTTGGAAACTCAGATCATAATTCAGAAAAACAGTTACATTACAATGATTACTCCCATTAATTGATATACTGTTCTAGCCTGTATGCATGCATGAGGTAATGTGGATTTTTGTATATTACGTTAATAATTTAGGCCTATTATAATGGTTATTTGTTTTATGCAGGCTGCCTACTTGTAGGCTATTAGTTTCGTTTTCGTGCATTTTTTTTTGATCCAACGTCTATTAAGTTTTCTATAAATGAATTAAGCTAAAATCTGACGTTTACCATCAAGTAAAAAATACTTGAGTTCGGGTTGACTTGTGAGATGATTTTTAAGATGGGCTATCTGATCTGAACAAAACGTTTTCCGTCTTCTCAGCCTCATGTTTTTATGACAAAAGCTTCCTGTTACAGATATTAACTATTTTAAACTGTTTATTTATAAATAAACAAATATAAATATTGATTAAATCTTTATATATACAGTGCCCTCCACAATTATTGGCACCCCTGTTTAAGATGTGGTCGAGGACTTTTAAAAATTCTCCCTTTTTTTTAAACAACATAGAACCCAAATGCAAAAAAAGAGAAAAATCCAACCTTTTATTTAAGTACATTACTTTGGTGGTAATTTTTTTTTTTAAATTTAGAAAAATAAAAACTTCAAATCATGTGTCCCACAATTATTGGCACCCCTAACAATTCCGCTGAAAAATGGAATTGATTTTAAAAATATATATATTTTCTGTAGTTGCTAATGTTGGTCAGGATATCTAGGAACTTTTAATTAGTAATTCATGACTTCCTATTTCCCTGGGGTATAAATATGACATGACACAGAGGCCTAATTCTCTTACCCATTTGTCAACATGGCAAAGACAAGAGAACACACCATTCAAGTAAGGCAGATGTGTGATGACCTTTATAAGTCAGGCAATGGCTACAAGAAAATAGCCACTCACCTTATCTTGCCCGTATCTAAAGTTAGAGGAATCATTAAGAAGTTTAAAACAACTGGAACAGTGACAAACAAGGCTGAAAGAGGTCCCAAGTTTATCTTACCACAACGCACTGTGAGGAGGATGCTAAGAAAAGTAAAACAAAGTCCCAAGCTCACTGTCACAGAATTGCATCAAATAGTGGCATCTTGGGGTCACAAAATCTCCAAAACAACCATCAGACGCTCTCTACATGCCAACAAGATGTTTGGGAGGCATGCTAGGAAAAAGCCTTTTCTCACCAACACTGACAAACGTAAACGTCTGGAGTTTGCCAAGCGGCACTGGGACTTCATCTGGGATCGTGTGCTTTGGTCGGATGAGACTAAGATTGAGCTTTTTGGCAACAAACACTCTAAGTGGATCTGGTGTAAAACAAAAGATGTGTATGCCGAAAAGTACCTCATGCCCACCGTGAAGTATGGTGGAGGATCTGTGATGCTGTGGGCCTGTTTCACTTCCAAAGGCCCTGGGAACCTTGTTAGGGTGCATGGCATTATGAACGCTTTGAAATACCAGGACATTTTAAATAAAAACCTCTGCCAGAAAGCTGAAGATGGGTCGTCATTGGGTCTTTCAGCAGGATAATGATCCAAAACGTGTAGCAAAATCTACACAAAAATGGTTCAGACAAACTCAAGGTCCTCCCATGGCCATCTCAGTCCCCAGACCTCAATCCAATCGAAAACCTGTGGGGTGAGCTAAAGAGGAGAGTGCACAAGAGAGGGCCCAGGATTCTGGATGATCTAGAAAGATTTTTCAAAGAAGAATGGTCAAAGATCCCTCTCTCTGTGTTCTTCAATCTTGTGAAATGTTATAGGAGGAGATTAAGTGCTGTCTTGTTGGCAAAAGGGGGTTGTACAAAGTATTAACATCAGGGGTGCCAATAATTGTGGGACACATGATTTGAAGTTTTTATTTTTTTAAATTTTACATTTTTTTTTACCACCAAAGTAATGTACTTAAATAAAAGGTTGGATTTTTCTCTTTTTTTGCATTTGGGTTCTATGTTGTTTAAAAAAAAGGGAGAATTTTTAAAAGTCCTCGACCACATCTTAAACAGGGGTGCCAATAATTGTGGAGGGCACTGTATATATATATATATATATATATATATATATATATATATATATATATATATATATATATATATATATATATATATATCAGTAACACTTTAGGCTAATAAGGTTTCATTTACCATTATTTAATATGAACTAACAATTAACAACACTTCTACAGCATTTCTTAGTTAATGTTAATCTCAACATTAACTACAAGTGTTTTTGAAAACATTTACCTATATTTGTTAACATTAGTTGATGCACTAATGCAACCACAGCAAGAAAAGTTAATAAATGCTGTAGCCTAAAAAAAATAGTTTGTTCGATATCAGTTCGTTATGATGCATTTAATATTGTAAAGTGTTGCGGGTTTCTCTTTACAAAGATGTTTACTACCTCACACTTAGGTTTGTCATTAATCAAAAAAATATAGCCTATATTTAAGCCTAGAGTTCAACACGTTTCATTACGCTGTAAACATTAGTTGCAATTAATCTAACTTTTATTTGACTTGCCTGACCGAAGTCAACAAAACTGCAGAATTATCCCTGGTGATGATATCCCACAGATTAAAATATAAAAAATAGATGAAATAGTAGGCCTACCTTTGCGATATGGAAACGTTGTTGTGTAGACTATACCCCAGCTATATTCTGAGGTAAGAAAAATTAGCAAACAAAATTCGGTACATCAAGATGTAAAAACAAAGCATTCATGTGTCAAAGATCCATGTTGGCTTCTGCACGTAACTTGAAGCCAAAGATCCCTCGGGGGATCCGTGACTCGTTCATTTGATGCAACAGCCCTTCAGTTCTTGATTCAAAAGTTCACGACGATGCACATTAAAGCACTTGGGCTAATAGGAAAAAAAATCGCTAAATACGTGGCATACGATACGTCGCTCGCTAAGACTTACACTCATAGTTGTTAAAAATAAGTACGTAATTGCCTGCCACTTTTAAAACGTTACATTATTCCCCTGCAGATGTGGCTGGAGTCCAAGAAAATGACGGCGCAGTGGTGAAGTTCAGTCTGACTCTGCAGAATGAGATGAGCCCGGCTTGCATTTACAATGAGGTCAGCCCAGCTCTCCAAGGCTACCATGTGAACACATTCTCAGCTTTCTATAATATTATTTTAATAATGTATCTAACGAATATGTGGTGCAGTGTTGCTATCTATCTATATATCTATCTATATATTTTCCTTGGCATTATTGATTATAGCCTGTAGGCTATGTTTGGTGGCTTATGAATAGGCATCATGAAATGGGTTGATTGCACTCATAAAAATATATATTGGTAGCCAGGCCTAACCGTTCAATATTTGGGTTTCGTTAGTCTATTGCCACATGTAGCCTTATATTAAGCTTATAGGCTGTGCTAGTTTGCCTTTGAATCTATGGGACCGTGAAATTAACCACTCTGTTTTGGACATAGGAACGAGTTCATGGAAATATTTTGGTAGGCCTATAGAAACTGTTCAAACTCAGCATTTAACAAAAAAATAATAAGAACATAAATAAGAATGAAGCGCTGATTCAGTTTGGGTTTGATTTCACTGTCTTTGCCTTTTAAATTTTCGTTGTGTGGTGCATAACTGCCACTGTTAATTTTAACTACTGTATATCATTATTACTTTTTAAACCCTAAAAAAAGTTTTTTTTTAAGTTAATTTGCAAAAAACTTCCATGCCCCCCTGTCACGGTGAGTGGTGGAATAAATCCGTGGATTCAGGTGCAGAGTGATTTGATAACATTTAATTAATAAAACATAAAATAAACAAATCAACAAGGAAAACTACAACGCTCAAACTTAATCCAGAACAAACAAGGCAGGGTAGGAACAGGCACGAAACTCAACACGATGAATACACGTATACAACGAACGAGCACAGGACAGAAAACACAAGACTAAATAGACAGGTAAACAAAGGGTAACGAGACAGACAGATGGAGCAAATAAACCAATAATCAGATAACAAGGGGGATGGATCAAACAATGACAAGAGCACATGGCTCAACATAACAAAACACCCATGTGCATCACAAGACAGGACATGACACCCCCAGAATATTTTTTTGTATGAAAATCTAAACATTATATATAAATATTACAGTATATATAAACAGAGCCTCTACTTAAGATCTTATTCGAGCTTCATGCATTCATTTATTATCAACACTTGAATGTGGGTGCTCATTAAAAAATAGAAAAAAAGTTGAGAAAATTGCATTTTTGTCAAAGATTATATTGGGATTCTGAACGATGATCAAAACATAGTTGAAGTAGATCGAGTCCATCAACACCCCAAAACTTCAAGACGTCGACAATAAAAAAATGTCGACAAATATCTTTGTTGTCGAGTAGTCGTTTGATCTCACTTGACCTAATGTAATGGTATGCAATATCGCGATTTGACCGCTACGGCGCTGTGGCGCTAGAGTCTAATGCAGCCCTTACAAATCCGGTAAAAGAAAAAACAGCGTGAATTATGACGGACTGCAAACGAATACGAACTAGCAAGGTTTGGGAAAGTTTCATAAAACTTAAAAACAACAATGCTGTCATGTGCAATACATGGAAGGCGCAACTTGCTTTTCACGGGAGCCCAACATGCATGTTGGAGCACTTAAAGGGGAAACATCCCAGCAAAAGAGGAGCCGGTGAGAATTGAGTGTTCTCCAGCTGGAGCTAACTAACTAGTGGTAAATCTCATGCAACCCACACTGTTGCAAGCTCTACGTCACACTTCTTTTCGACAGTCAAAGCAGTGTTACGTTTGTGCATAATAACCCTAAAGGCACCGGCTATATTTATATAGCCTATATATATATAAATATAGCTGCGAGCAGCGATGAAGGGCCAAAGGCGGTGGTACCGCCACCTCGGAGCCTTTAGGTAGGCTAACTAAAGGCACTGGGGTTGCGGTGCCACCGGCTTGGGCCCGCAATCGCTGCTCGCAGCTATATTTATTATTATTATTGTAACAGTATTAGTTAGGTATTATAGTCTTATCCCGTGCCTGTATTTTGTTCCATAATCATGAAGACTTAAAAAAGGAGATGTTAGGAAGAATATGGCAGTTACTTATTTTTTTCATTCTGTAAATTAAAAGGCGGGATGAGAACGTCTATGTCAGCTCAATTGTCATGTAGCCTAAAAAAGATTGTAATAATTTTATATTTATAATAATGGTTTACAGATTAATATTTAAACATTTTTTGTGTTCTAGTAAATGAACATTTTTCTGTTTCAGTCCTAAGAAAAGCAGTGGGTCTATTAAACAATGTTTAGATAGCATTTTTGTGTGATTTGAGTTAGACCGAAATCTGAAAACTCAAAGAGAATGACCTTTTAATTTGGCTCAAAGTTCATTAAAACAACCATTTCAAGCTGAATTGATTTTCTTTTTTTACATTATAGTAAGAATATGTATAACGCAATGTTTTAAGTAGTTGAAAAAGCTGAATAAACGTTCCAAACGTATACTAGCCGGCAAAATAATTGATGATTAGATTAATCTTTCTAATAATCGATTGTCAAAATAATCGTTTGTTGCAGCCCTTCAGGAAATGCAGAGTCCGGACCCTGCGAGCTATGGACGGGGCCTACGCCAAAGAACTTTATTGCTTGCTGGGCTATCAATAAATGTATTTATTTTTACAGTATTTATAAACTCCCGAGTCTTTCTTGTTGAACTGAGGTTAACCGAATAGTTTTTTTTTTTTTACACAATTTGCTTTAGCTCCAGTATGCAACTTGTGTTTGTTCACAGCAGGTTACAGCTGTTTAGACCATCTGGCTTTAATCAAAGTCAGTACAGAAGTGTTTTCCATAACTGTAAAGCCACTCATCTTTGCTCTACAGTGATGCTCACAGTCACATACCACTTCTCCTATGAGCTCAAAAAGAAGATGAACACAGATCTTTTATGACTTGCCAAACTGACAGGGTTACAACTGATCCCATGTTACACAACACTCCCCGGTCTCCCTATTAAGTTAAAATATGTTTTTTTATACTTGCCAAAAATGTTATGACTGATTTGACTCGTTCAATGGAGCTTGCTTACCATGACCTAAAACAACATTCCTGATCGAATTCAAGCTTCTCTATTGGCTGAGATGTTTATCAAAACACATTTTAGTGTTTTCACAATCACATCATGATTCCATATTAAAGGGGTTATGAACTGGCTTTTTTCAATTTTATTAGCCTACTATTGTTGTCTGAGGTCAACTTATGACGTTCGCTTGGTTTTTGCATTCAAAAACATCAAAATGAATAAGTAATAGGCTATTTTCTACGGAAGCCCTGAACCGCAACCTGAGAAAAAAAAAAAGAAAAGAAAACTTATCTCGTTATAACGACATATTATGTCGTTTTAAAGACTTATTAAGTCGTTTTAATGACTTAGTATGTCGGTATAACGACATAATATCTCGTTATAACGACATAATAAGTCGTTATTTCGACTTAATAAATCGTTAAAACGACATATCTCGTTATAACGACATAATAAGTCGTTATTTCGACATAAATATCTCGTTATTTCGAGATATTTTAACAAGGGGCGCATTCTAGGCTATAGCCTTTAACGTTCTTATAATGACTTTCTATGGGAGGAAAATGCTTAACGTCAAATGAAACGCTTTGGCGTTCAAAGACTTATCTGGTTTTTGCTATACATTATGAGTTGAGAATCATATTAATTAAGAAATGCACGCATAATTATTAGCTTGATGAATGTTGCAAATATGTTTTAGGCTACTATCCACAAACAAATTGCTTTCAAATTATGTGTGCAAAATTCAGAATTCAACGAATGCACTGCAACAACAAAAATAGTTAAATTAATATTATTATTAGCCTATTATTATTATTAATAATAATATTAATTATTTATTATTATTAAATATTTAATAATAATGAACGCTTTGCGTTAATATTCTGGACTTATCTGATTTTTTGTAGTAGGCTATACTTTATTATGATTTTAGTAGGCTGTCATATGGATTAAGACATGCACGCTCAATTATCCTTGAAATTGATAAATGTTGCAGATATATTTTAGGCTATCCACAAACAAATTGCTTTCAAATGCATGTGCAAAATTCAGAATTCAACAAATGTGCAGCAATTGGTTCAAATAGGGACGTTTGTGCATGAAAGACATTTTTGTTTTAATTTGCATTTGGGCCTGACATCTGAGTCGATCTCATTTGAGTATATTCGGCAATTTGCGTAACGAGGAATTAAACGCGTTGAGTTTATATTCTGAGTTTATCTGATTTTGTCTACATATACTTTATTCGTATGATTCTTTACTGTGTTTGGTCTTTTAGTACATTTCTTAAGGTTTGTAATTGTATTCATTTCGATGTGCCACTAGAGGGCAGAATAAGACCGGGAATTAAAGAACGCATTGTAGATATGGTGACCGTTTTGGGGTTTCTATGGGACCAGGCCCGGCGGGCGGAGGGAGGGGGGAATTAAGTTGAGGTGGGCCTGAATCTATGGGTGTCCAAGTAGTTGTCTCGAATCCAGGGCTGGGTTTTCCGAAACCTTATTAACGCTATTTCATTCATGTTGTAGCCTACCTTATTGTATATGTGCACGTACATTACTTTTGAATAAGAAACGATAACAAGTCTATAAAATTCTTCAAAACTTCGCGAATCACAAACGTAATGAGAACACTCATTTAATGTATTGAAGAGAGAGGCCGCACTTTGCATATACAGTTTTATTATACTCATTTAAACAGCATGCACACACGCGAACTTGACTGCCAGGGGTGCCACCAGAAATTCAATCTGCCCTATATGGAAACCAAAATTTCTGGGCCCCCTACATTTATTACAGATAAAATTTAACCCAATAAACATGCCCAGTGTACCTTAAAAAATATATTAGCACATTGCATATTAAATGACTAAAGATGAGTAGCCTACACAAACAAGATATATATATATATATATATATATATATATATATATATATTATAATATATATATA